ATCGGGGACGATCCTTGTATATCTAAAACAGTACGGTTCCTATGCCATCATGTTCTAAATTTATTGTCTGTCTATTTCTAAAAAAACGATCCATTTGTATAATATTGTTTGAATTAATATCATATGTGTATATTATATTATCCTTAATATAATAATCATCTCTTACTAATATTTTATTTTCACTAGTTTTTTCCCTTTTAATCCTATCCTATAGATTTTTCCTTCTAATTCTTGATCTTAGACACATGTCAGTTGTAAATATTATTTTTTCCCCTCACTTTCATTAACAATTTTTGATTTCGATGCCCAGAATTTCTTGAGAACTAAATTTCTATCTTTTACGGATTCCAGAATAACTTTTACTATAAGGTTATTTTTACTCTTTTTTAATTGAATAATCCCTTCAGTTTCTATATTATTTATTCCTAATTCTTCATTAATAAATTGTTTAATTTCTTGAGCAACATCCGATGTTTTAAACGGATAGTTTAAAATTATAATATTCTTATTAGTAGACTCATTTATCATTTTATCAAATTCGAATTCTAACATACCTTTTAAATATTTGTTGTTTTTGGAAGTTTCTTCCAGTTTCTGTATCTTGTGACAGATTATCTTCATATCTTCCTTATAACTATTACTCTCTTCTTTCATCTTATTAACTTCAGCTTTTACTGATTGAATTTCTAAGTTTAACTGGCAAAATTTTTCCTGAATCAATTCGTATATAGATTTTAGTGTATATTGCGATTCGTCAATATCTTGATCTTCGAGTTCTGTTGTTGGTTCAAAGTAGTCTCATATTTTTTAATTTCTCGTATTCCCACTATTTCTTTCATCCTCTTCTTCAATTTGGTATTCCTCACTTAAAAATTCTACTAATTGGTTTTCTCTTTCTACGTCCTTGAAACTTTCCTTGCGAGATCTACCCCGCTTCCTTTTTTTGCATATTTAACTGGCTTCATCCAAGTGGTAAGCGGGGAAGAGGGCCAGGGTTTGTTTCATTTCCAGTAATTATTAACAATATTTTAATCAGTTCCAAGGCTAACCTAGTTTCGACAACTGCAATCTGAACATACTACAATGAATAATTTTTAATTTTTTCCATTCCACACTTGTTCCACTAGCTTCTCGAAAAAAGTCCCTCACACGTTTGACAGTTAGAAGGCCTCCATTTTATGTTGAATAATTACTAGCCAAAATCTATAACTTATATATATAAATAAGTTCTTGTTGGCTTGTCCTTTATACAGACAAATCTCTGTGCAAATTTTTATTCTTAAACCGACTTGGACCAAAGTTTGTATCAGTATTACTTAGATCCTAGAATCGACACTAAGGAGAGAGCCAGTGGGGTTTTCGATTCGAACTAAACTTGAGCTCGTAGCCCTAAATACAAAAGCTCCTTGTCCAGATAATAGAACCCACTTCTCATGCGTTTCCGAAAAACAAAAAATTAAAAATCGTAATGTCATTTTCTGTTTATCGAAAACGAAGTCTGTATTCGTTTTACTCTTTAATGTCGTCAAATAAAATTTTTATTTTTTATGATATTGTTATATTTGAAGTGTAACAAAGCATGCATGAGGAAATTGTCCATAATATTAACAATATTTTAAAAAACTCTGGGACTATGCTATTCTATTTTCATACCAATTTTTTTTTTTTTTTTTTTTGTTATGAGCAGTAACGTCTGAAGCTTGTTAGCTTGTAGTGACAGTATGTAATCACGAGTGAAAATATTAAGGACAGCAGAAATGTTCGAAAATTGCAGGATACGAAATTACAGGTTTTGTTGAAATAATTTTTAACGATTTACATCTATAAATGAAAAAATAAACGTAATTTGTTTAATTGACTTTGAACAGGCTATAAAATTAGTTTACAGTTTAAAATAAACAATCTAATTTTTCACACATTGATTTTATATTTTATACCATTGCAACAGTATTGTTTATAATATGATTAATATAGAAATTTTTTTACGAATGAAATATGCAAATAATGACCTGTAAGGCAAATTTTATCTCCAATAATAATGTTTTCTAATACGTGCATAACACATCGCAAGAGGTTTTTGAGAGCCAATAGATAAATTAAAAGTTTCGAATGCAAAAATCAAAGCATATAAATTCTTTTGGCGAGTAACGGGTTCTATCTAAATGAGTGATTCTAAGGCCCTGTACACACTAGGCGTTTTNTGATTCTAAGATCGCCAGTTTACACGACATCGTAGAAACGTTCATCAATTATGAAAGCAACGCAGAATCAAAAGACTGCATTTTATCAATCTATATACAGTATATCATATACTGTATATGACATGGCTTTTGAATTGCGATAATAATACATTGTAATTGTAGTAAATTTGTGCACGTAGAACAGCAGTTTAAGCTATGATGTTGGAAATTGAAAACTCTAGCTTAAAAAATAGAAAAATGTAATCAAATAAACAAACTTCGAATTTCATTATAGGTGAAGTGACGAATATAAATGTGTAAGAACTCTTACACATCTATATACATCTATATTGACTTATATAAGCAATAAGTAATTAACAGGGCGACGTTTACTGTCCACGCGAATAAATTGTGCGGAGTAAAGTATTATTATGGCAACATTTTGAGTGTTTTTTCGAATAAAATGACAAAATAAAGTGGTTTATTTAAAAAATATAACAAAACCGTTCATTAATGTTCTAGGTTCTTAGTTAATAGAACTGTAGATATTTTACCAACACTAAAATAAATCTCCTAGACCATTTTCTGTCGTTGTATAAAATATCCATCTTCATAGGATGTTTTATAGCTCTGATTTAAAATAAATATAAAAATCATAGTTCTTCATAATAATTTTTTATAAAAATCTAATAACAAGGGCAAGTTTCGCTTGAAGTTTGTCAAGTTTGTTCCATAGTCGAGTTCAAGTATCGGCTTAACTTCACTTGAATTAACTATATATAATTATATATTAGTCACTTTATATTGTACAAATAATTATAATGAAATATTTGAAACCCATTTTTAGTGCAATTTCATCTTACTGAAAACAGTGATTACAATACAGTATAATTTTAATTTTATCATATTTGTTAAAATTATTTACTTTTTTATTTGCAGTAAAGATGCCGCACAATAAATATAAAACATTATTATAGATTTGTCAAATAAATAACAGAAATCTATTTGTCTAATTTGTCAAAAAATTGGCTAAGTTGAAAGTTGAGAATATATATACAGTGAAAACTGCTTAGGCGACCACCTGCATTCGACGGGCACCTGCCAAAACGGGCAAAAATTTCTGGCACGGAATAGTTTATCCATAGAGTCTTCGTATAAGTTACCCGTATTAAACGACCACCTGTGTAACGCGACCGCGGGCATCGATTTTTGGTCCGAAACAACACACAACACCTGTAATAAGCGACCACTTTCGCGAATGTATCTGGTCTAAACTATTGTAAGAACCCATCTCAACAACTTTTCCGCCTCCTAATATAATGAATTAGTCTAAACTCTCGTTCGAACCCATCCCGGGCACTTCTCCCACCCTCGAAATTAGGTGCAGGTGTTAATAAATTAGTCTAGCAACAAAGGAAATTCATTTCAGTTTGTTGGAAAATGTCCGAAATGCAAAGTGCTGTCGTTAGAAGATCGTATTAAAGTTATCACAACAGCAATTAGCGGCGAAGTTTAACTGTGGGAAAACAAAATTTATTTTACCCTAGACCTACAGTATTTTCCTTGGGGGTGTAAAATATTGTACACGATACAATTAATCGGCTGATCTCATCGTTTGATAAAATCTATTTTTATTTATTTATTTTGAAGCTCATATACAGTACACGTGCGATAAATAGTTTCTGTATCAACCTACCTTATTTCCACGATATTTTTAGAAAAATAATATCCAAGTAATTTTCGCAGGCAAAATATTCAAAAAACAATAAACGCATTAATGCAAAAATCAGTTTTACTTCCTTTTTCGATTCCGCGATTGTAATGAAATCGTATAATGAGAAAAAATAATAAAATCGTTTTATTATTAATTAATAATTTTTCTTATTGTACTTAATTAATTAAGAAAATATTAAATATTAAAAAATACAGTATTTTTAAAGTTAAAATAAGATTAAACTAACGAAAACCAAAAGCAAAGTGATGGAGAGATAGGACGCGCTTGTATATTGATGACGTAATACACGTAACTGAGGAGCGAACGAAAAGAACCGAGTCGAATTAATTAAGTCGGAAAAAAGAAAGTGTGCATTATAATCGAGAAAATGCGACTATTGTATTAATCTTTAAAATATTGGTATTAAATCTGTCTTATAATATCATGACGATTCCTGTAAATCGGGTTATCCGATAAGAATAAAATACAATACCAATATAGCCCTATCCTTGAAAAAATTCGCTTATTTTTGCTCACCTCGAGTTTTGCTTAGTAGAAATGGCTAAAAAGTGCGCAAAATACGTACGGAAATACGATATTACAGCACCACCTGTATTGAACGACCAGCTGCCTAAAAGACCACTTTTTGAAGGAACCGTGGGTGGTCGCCATAGACAGGTTTTACTGTATATATACATCTAAAATACTGTAATGGAAAGAAACTTCAGCTACTTGAAATAGCTGAAATTTACATTGTTTTAGTTGATCCAGCAAGGCCTAGAAGAAACTAGCTTCATGCCAGACAATAACGACATAAGCTTACATTCTATCTTTCTTATCTTTATTACATTCTATATTAACATCCGTTTGGTTTACAATCTTAAACTTTCACCGGGAAAATTATTATACTGTACAGAACATTTGCGTAACTTTACCTTATATTATTATTTTATAACAGGTACTCAATGAAATGAAAAAAATCAATGTAAAATTATTTTTGTTTAAATATTCACTTAATAAAAATGAATGATTTAATAACTAATTACAAAATTGATACATAAACAATTTAACAAGTTATATTTAAAAAATGATAAAATCAACGCTAAATTAAATTTAAATAAATTTCATTTATGGAATTCAAATAATGAAAAAATCGTGAAAAAGTCGTAAAAAGTATTTCATGATTATTTGTGTAGATAACTTTTTCTACGAACTTTTCATTCCATACAAAAATTAGCCATAACAGAACAAAAATCTCCACGAAGAGGATGCTTCATAAAATATGGTAATAAAGAATTATATTGGTCTTCAGACATCAAGTATTTTTGATCATCACCAGATTCGCTCTCGTTGCATAAAACAACCGGTTTCTCGCCTCGACGATTAAACTCTTCATTAATTTCTTCTGTCACATTTTCCTCAATTTTTCTAAAACTATCAATATTTCTATCGCATATAATAGAATATTCTGTATTACAATTGCAAACAATGCCATAAAAATAAAATTGGAATTTATCCCAACTGTAGCTCTCAAATAAATATTTTAAGAATTTCACAGATTCATACAGATCGATATATGTAACAGAATTACTCGATGTGGCAGGATCGTCAGAAAATCTTCTGTCAAGCAATACACATATCTGAAAGTCGTGCGAATAATTCAGATTACTGTGGAATTTAATTAATTCTTTTTTAATATTTTTCCAGTCATCAATACGATCTGGAATGCAGAAATAGATTCTATTGAATTTGCAAATATTTGATAATTTCAAGAATTCGTCTAAACAATCGAAATAAAAAACTAATTTTGTTTCTGCGCAAAACAGTTGTTTATTTCTTTCGTTTTTGATTTCGTTGTAAAAATTCAGCCATGTTACGGGATGCAGGAAGATTCTTCGTAGAAAATTAATAAAGTTGCCTGCAAATGGATTATCTCTAAACAAACCGAGAATAAAGAATAAAATACCGTCAACCTCTGGTAAAGTAACTACATCGATCGAATCGAAAATGTAAAATGCCATAATAAATTCGGTAAATAATCGATGAATAAAGTCGAAATATTCTCCATTATCCTTAGCTGTACGTTTTACAAAAATGTAGAGATCAAGGAAAAATTGGCATTCCTCTTTACTGAAAGCCTTATGCAAATCTTTCTCTTTGACTTTTCTTGTTTCTAAACCGTTATCCTTTGTAGAATCAAGAAATTCCTTTACGTAATAAACTTTTCCCAGCTTAATAATTAAATCTTCTCCGTCAAAATATTTTCCTCTTTTTAGGTTATGGATTCCATTTTCCTTTTTCTTATACTTTTCTATAATAAGACGGAAAATTAACATAAACACATCGGCATTTGTCATTACGTATCTGTCTGATTTACTTTTAGGAAGACAGCATAACATGTACAGCATAAAAGGACATTTCGCTAATTCGAAACAGGAACGATTGTTTTTAATAATATTTTTGAGATATTCGCATTTGTCTTCGTCTCTAACAATGAAATCGATGTATTTTTCCTTTTGTTCTGGAGTGAATCCTTCGATGTAACATCGATATTCGATAAGTTTTCTAATTTCATCCGAAACGTGTGGACGGCTGGTAACTATTATTGTCATTTGGACAGAAATTTCGAATGAATCGTTACTTATAAATTGTTTTACGCAATCTTTATCGCGAGTTTCGTTAAATCCATCTAAAATGATCAAAAAATTCCACTCAGTTTCTCTGAGTTTCTTTGCAAATTGTCTGTTTGCTTTGTCGTCAATGCATTCAATAACAGCGTCAATTATACTTTTTTCTCCTAATTCGCTTAATTGTATAAAAATTAAAATATCAAACGACTTCAAGTAACTGCGACTCTCTTCATCCATTCCCCAATCGTAGGCGATTTTCTTACAAATGGTTGTTTTCCCATATCCCGGATCTCCTGTGATGAGTACTGTGCGATGAAATTTAGACTCTTTCGCAAAGATATCTTTAACTTGAATGATTTCTCCTGTTTTTCTTCCAAACATGTCGGTTTTATGGAGTTTGACATCCACAAAGCCTTCTCTTATTGGAAAGTCGTTGTCTTCACTCCAAAGAAAAGAAGTCATATAAGCATTTTCGTTCTTGTATCTGTTCATTAGCTTTTCTTGGCATATGCGGAGTTTGTCTGAAATTAGTTAAATTCTATATTAATAAACTTCATATTATCTAATATCCATAAATGTCATATAATGAAAAATGGTCGGAAACAAATTATAAAAATTACGTGAATGTTTAAAATAATTTATTTTTCGTTACCGCATTTAAATTTAGTTTTGTATCTTTTTTCATAATCAGGCATTCGTACTTTTATACAAACAGCTAAACGTATAAATAATAAATTCAGTATGAATAATATATTTAATAATAAGGGAATTCTATAGAAGCAGAAGCTAGTGATGTATCTTTAGTGTATTATGTGAATCTAAAAAAGATTTTTACATTAGCAAAAGAGAAAGTACAAGGAATTAAAAATAGTGTTGCAAAATTTTGAATTAGTTGTATGTTACTCTCCCGGTTGTTATGTATAGATAAAAAACACTGAAAAATATCTAATTAAAATTATAAATTCTAACTTAGAGTTCATTGGTCTAATTTTAATTAGATATTTTTCTGTGTTTTTTAAAGGAATGTTTGTAAACTCGTAGGCCAATTAGCCTAAAAAAGAAGCTCATGTCGTCAAAAAGTTTGTTCTGGAACACGAAGTGAATAAATGGTGTTTACCGAAAAATTTTTTTGGACAGTCTGTGTCTTCAATTAACTCAAAAATATCATCCGATGAAATTCCAATTTCAAAGGTAAAATTTTCATTAAGCCAGACTCTCTCGAGATAAGAAAGTTAACTTCATTTATCTTCCCACCACCTCTTTAACCTGTCTTTAACCACCAAATTTAATACAATCAATGCCTCTTACATAAGCTCCGCCAAATTTCAAATTCTGCATAAGCCCTCTTGCCAAATTTCATTTCTTAATTATTATCTCATCCTGAAATATTAAACGAATTAGCAAAATATCTAATAACACACGACAGTGTTAATTTTAATTTTTACAACATAATATTTACCTTTTATAAGCAAATCATCTGTCGGAGTTCGATTTTGTTCTCCCAACTTTATATCGTTGCATTCCTTCATTTGAATTTTATACGTAGACATGACTATAATATACATATTAAAACATAATCAGAAATAATTGATAAAAGAACTTTTAATGAATTAAAAATTAGCTTATGATATTTTTATTAAATTAATAACGAAGTTGATTCAGTAATTGGTGAAAAATTCAAAATCTGTTATTGCATCTAGCTGGAAAATTAAAACTAGTTACGACAGTGTATATATGTACAGTACAGTACTAGTACAATAACAACAGATTCTTTTATATATAATTTATATATTAGTTAATAGATGAAAATATCTAGTGTTATAGTAATATATTTAACCCAGGATCGATTCCGGACGGGTCGAAAAATCTAAGGAATTTTTCGGGGGGATTGTCCATCTGAATATATCGGCTCCATCCCTCACCGCCCAGCCGAATTGTAAGGCCTGGCCGAACTGATAATGAGCTCGCTAATGGATGGCTTCTTAGTGCCCACAGGGCGGAAAGAGTTAAAAATAACCAAATCAGCTTAGTGTTCTACACACAATTAATCATAATCAGTTATAAACCCTTTTAAAAAATCAAACAGCACTTACAGTTGATATCTCTGAAGGACTGACTGAAACGTTATACAAATTAAAAAAAAAAAAAACATGCACTTTTACAATCAAATTCCAGAGAAATAGCGACCATTATACATTTTCTGTCATCCAGTTTATGTCATAAATCTATTTTTGTTTTAACTGATATAATCATACCAACCTTCATCTATTTTTACACTTAAATTATCATAAATTCTTTTTTATTTTTAACCTTTAAAATTTCAATATCTTCATAGTATTTTCGTTTTTTATATTTGTTTCAAATTTTATGGCTTTTATCGAATCTTTTTCTATTTCACATCCCCTTAAATTACAATGTTTTGCTACAGCTGAAGTTTGTGTATTATATTTCATTGCGTTAATATGTTCTTTTATTTAAACCTTTAAATAAAAAATCAACCAATGAAAATCAAATCAATGAACATGAAAAATCACCACGCCTCGCTCGAGGTGAACAGACTAAACATCAACGCCCTAACTTTCATTTTGTACTTCCATTAAAAACGCAGGAACATAAAACAAAACGAACTGTAGAAAAAGTTCGTATTCCTCAAAAGTTGCCGATCACGTGTGCAGCTAAATACTTGTATATCGCCACTTATAACATGAACATATCTGCTAGTTACTAGTAAAAACAAATAATTACGAACTGTAATAAATTTATAAATTTCATAAAAACAATTTATGTATTCTTAAATTAAAAAAAAAAAAAATTAATTCAGGATTGTGAGAATCCGGTCTAAATAGGAAAAATTTTAAGTTTCAACCCGATAGCAGGAAGCGATTCCATTTTTCCACTGAATTGCTTCCTTGTCTATAAATAACACATCTCCTGACTGCGCACTTTTTTACTGTATCGGGAACATAACGGAAATAAATCGTTATTGGTATAACCACTGTAATCAACATTGCCTAAAAAGAGTATTGAAAAAAAAAGGTAAGGACCCCGAAATATAAGAAGCATCGATGACGACACAGAGTTTGTCTGTCCTCGAAAATTAATCGTGTGGGCGCTGTCGATACACCGTCTTCGCCACCTATAAGCAATGATCAGAAGTCTACCCGCCAACGACAATAGCGTCTTCTCCGGGATAAACAGCCTATGCAAGAGTGCGAGTTTCGTAATGAATCTACCGCTTCAGGTAAGTACCAACGCGCGATCGCTTGTAAACTCTTTCGCTCTTCACGACACCTAAGCTTATACGTAAATTTTTCAAGTAAATAAACGGGTATTTATTGATGTTAACGCGGTAGTTGCGTGTAATTCTTTCTGATTCGCTGTCTGAAGCTCTTCTCCATCCCGAATCAGAACCGCCTACACACGCGATCGCTCGCGTCTGTAGGCGGTCCTTATGACACAACTACTGTGTCATAAGTACAGACACAGAAAACTCGATGGCCACTAAATTCGATTTTACGCGAGCGGTCGCGTGTAGGCGGTTCTGATTCGGGATGGAGAAGAGCTTCAGACAGCGAATCAGAAAGAATTACACGCAACTACCGCGTTAACATCAATAAATACCCGTTTATTTACATAAAAAATTTACATATAAGCTTAGGAGTCGTAAAGAGCGAGAGAGTTTACAAGCGATCGCGCGTTGGTACTTACCTGAAGCGGTAGATTCATTGCGAAACTCGCACTCTTGCATAGGCTGTTTATCCCGGAGAAGACGCTATTGTCGTTATCGGGCAGACTTCTGATCATTGCTTATAGGTGGCGAAGACGGTGTATCGACAGCGCCCACACGACCAATTTTCGAGGACAGACAAACTCTGTGTCGTCATCGATCCTTCTTATAGTTTGGGGTCCTCACCTTTTTTTCAATTTTTTTTGTTATGACATTGGTGTCAGTCCTGACGACGCAGTCATCGCAGACGCGGTGCCTCAACTGATGCGGAAGCATAGGATGTGCTGCGAGCATTATCACAGGTTTCAAAAAACGCAAGCAAAATTAAATAAATAACAATAAATCTATAATTATAAAAACTAAAACTAAATTAATACTAAATAAATTAAACCTAAAAATTAATTTTAAAATGCTTTAACACAATAGTAACGAGGTTGAGGCTGAAGTTTTAAACGCAAAAAACGTGTTCGTCGGACGTTCAACGCCGCTTTCCTTTAAGCCTAGAAGTTTGACAATGGTGTTTGGATAGTCAGTGGAATCATGCTCGACATTCCGAACACCATTGTCAAATTTCTAGGCTTACAGGAAAGCGGCGCTGAACGTCCGACGTACACGTTTTTGCGTTTAAAACTTTGGCTTCAACCTCGCTATTATATATAAATGGAATACTTACTATCATAAAAGATCTGTACAGTATGTATACGAAAAATAAAAACCGACCAATTGTATATAATTAGTTTTATTCAATTGATTACGTTTCTTTTCAAGACATCTATACCTTTAAATACTTTTAACGTTCAATCGTAGCACTGGCTGTTTTTACGTTCCTTATATTTATAAAAACGTTATCGCAACTGGTAGCAAAGTGTAAAATCTAAAATACATACCTATTTTTTGCCACAAATTTTTAAAGTTACAAAGCAGTATACACGTCAACCCTATTACAAACGTGGTGACAAGGTTCAAAACTCCAAGTTTCACGGTATCTAGAGAAATGAACAGTTAAGTTCATTTTTCTAGATACCGTGCAACTTGGAGTTTTGAACCTTGTCACCACGTTTGTAATAGGGTTGACGTGTATACTGCGTTGTAACTTTAAAAATTTGTTCAAATCAACTGTACTAGTTGCATTGAATACCGTATTTACTCGCATGTAAGACGAGGTTTTTATTCATTTTTCACTGCTTCAAAAACCAGGTCGTCTTATAAGCGTGAGCGAAGGATTCTTTGCGATTTTTGCAATAATTTCTGTGAACCGTGTATACTTCATGCTGTCTTTATAGGTCTACAGTCTATTTATCGTAAGTTGGTACCTACTGTAAACAAATTAAGACATGCTTTCCTTTGTTTATTTGTTTAATCCTACGTTTGTTAATTAAAAACTGCGTTGCATCTCATTGGTTCGCAGAAAATAGTTTCTAGTTATTTATAAAAACATTAATGAAATACAGGTCACTTAGCAATGATTATAAATGTAGTTATTTTATATTAGTTAAATTGTTATTTTTAATGAATATTGGCACATTATGAGTCATTAAAAATAGACTTTTTCTGGTCATGCACATTATAATGTTTTGGTTTTGTTTTCCATTCATCACGTATTAAGGTAAAGATGGTTGTTTGCCTTAATACATGCATTTGATAATACAGTATTTTATTTGTGATTAAACGAAATAAAATTATAATTGTATTAATAAATCTAATTTTTTTTATTTTGACCTCTAAAGTTACACCTCGTTTTATACGCGAGATCGTCTTATACCTCTTATACCCGAGTAAATACGGTAATTATTAAAGATTGTATCAATAGACTTTCTCCGCAGTTCGTAAACACATCTCCAGCAATTCTCATACAATATCTCTCCATAAAGTTACATAATATCTATTAATATTACTATTACATTGGCTGTTGATTAAACTCCGGCCCCTATTGTTATTTTAATTACCTATTTAATATTATATAGTTTACTAATATCCTTATGCGCTATCTGAATACTTACACTTTTTGACATTTAAAAATTTTATTTTAAATTTCATTATAAGTTATCTTCGAAAGTATAATAGAAATTTTACCAAACAAATGCGTTTTTTCATAATCATTTAAAACAAAGTAATATTATACGAATAAAGAGGTTTAATCACAAAATACGAAAATGAAACAAAGGTTAAAAAAATCCGATTTCTAGACAATTAAAAAGAGAATGAAACGTTGTTCATTATGCATTCTCATTGATGATTCACTAAATTGCAATATCAATATATGTAATTGGCTTACTTGGAATATCACATTTACAGATTTCAAAAATAAATGAAACTAATAAACTAAAATGCAACATTGGTGATGTCAAAATAAATTTACATTGTGAGTAACGAAAATTGAATACAGTAGTTTTTACCTTGTAGAACTAACCATAAACAATTCGCAGAGTCAGACTTTAAAAATAGTAGGCGCCGATTTAAGAAAATAATGCTTTTTACAGGGACAATTATATATTTCTTTCTCTGTAAACCTTCAGGGCCGATTGCAGAGACAGCGTTTACGTTAAACGACATTTAACAACCGAACGGCCTATAGATGTCGGCTGGCTGAACCGCGGTTTAAAATGCGTTGCAAAGACGACGATCGTCTATTTCTGACCGTTCTTTAAACGAACTTCGGCAAAACATCGGCTCTTACTTACTTCGCTATTACTCCCCTGTTTTAGGAGTCGTTCAGCCAATCGGGTTATTTGTTTGTGACGTCAGAAATGATCGCCAGCTATATTCCGAAAGCTTCCAGATATAAAATCTTAAAGCTGTCAAAACCATTGTTCGGCAATTAATGACAATCCTTTTCCATTTCGATATTTAATTTCGTCGCCAATACGGTTTAAAATACGAACAAATCCATATTTAGAAAATTTATACCGAATTCGAAATTCGTCTTCGGAATAGATTTTTAAGGAATTATTTCGACATCTTATTACTGTCGAAATGAATAATTTTAAATATTTTATTATTAATATTACATTTTTATATCTATAAACAGATTTCTGTAATTATTAAAATTGTCTCGTTTGTTTAACAGTACAACGACCCCGAAATGCATTAACGTTTTATAACCGACACGATACTCAAATTGTAAATAAATGCATCTGATTTAATTGTAGTTTTAAGTCTTCACCCATTTGAATATCGAAATTGGAACATTTAAAACAAATTTAAAGTATTTCATTTTGTTGTTTTTGTTCCGAGCAGTTAATTAATTAATGAGTAATTTTGTCGATTCGTACCGTTTACAACATTTATCAAAGAAACGATGTCTGTTTTTATCTAAACTTTTCCACAAACAAAGCTACCACTCGAATTGAAAAGCCCTCTAAACCTGCTGTCGAGTGAGTCTAGAAAATAGGTCAAATAACTTGTTTCTAATCGCTGTCTACAAGACAGCGATTAGAAACAAGTTATTTGACCTATTTTCTAGACTCACTCGACCATTTCTGACGTCACGAAGAAATAATCCGATTGGCCGAACGACTCCTAAAACAGGGGAGTAATAGCGAAGTAAGTAAGAGCCAATGTGTAAACGTCGTTTAATGTAAACTCTGTCTCTGCAATCGGCCGAAAGAGTTTCTTTGTTCGTTTCTTACTTCGAGGTAATTTCAGAATAAACTAAATGGATTTTTTTTAATTTTTCATTGTTGGAAAGCTTATTGTGGCCGGATGGCCGAGCGGTCAAGGTGGCAGCCTACCGCCCTGGGAGACCCAGGATCAAATCCGGACGGGTCAAGGAATCCTCAGGAATTTTTCGGGAGAGGGTCCGTTTGGATATGTCGAGCCCCGCCCCCACCACCCTGCCGCCCTATTGTGGGCCTGACCGAACCCATAATGGGCCTGCTATAAGAGGCCCTCTTAGTGCCCACAGGGCAGAAAGAGTATAAAAAAAATCTACCTTTAAACTCGAACTCCTCGCTTCATCCTGCTCATTTCACTTCCCTTACAAACTCCCAAACCCTTCCCTCGATCTGATCTAAATTCCGCATAGTTACTCTCTGGTAAAATTGCGGAATACCTTGTATGCGATTACACGTTTTCTTGAAACAATTTTTAACGATCTACATTTATAAATAAAAATATCATCGTAATTTATTTAATTGACTTTAAACACGCTATAAAATTAACATTTTACAGTTTAAAATAAACAATTTAATACAGTATTTCACACGTTGGTTTTATACTTTATACCATTGCAATAGTATTGCTTATAACAGGGCTTCTTAAACTACGAGTCGCGACCCCATTTGGGGTCGCTTAGCGAAATCTTGGGGTCGCGAGATTTAATTGCAAAATATCGAAAATAATTTGTGAGAGTTTGAAATGGCACGCTTTGTGTCATAGGTTTCGTGAGTTGCGCTTTGTGTCACTTCTGGTGCAGCGAGACAACGATTCAGCAACACTGTAGTGTGTACTAGTATAGTGTTATCGCTTTTCAGTGTATTCAGCTGTCTCTGTTCCATTGTAACACAAGAGTGAACTGTGGTAGTACACCATTATTGTTTTTACAAATTTGTATATATCAGGACTTTGGAGTCGCTCCAAAGTCCTGATATATACAACTGACTCCAACTCTGACTCTTCCTTACCATCCGACTCCGACTAGGGGCAGACTTGTTACCGAAAGAGACCCGGAAATTCTAATGTCATCACGTGACCTCAGAATAAAAGGTTCAATAAATAGAGTTCTAATAAAGACAGAACGTAGAAACTTTTTATTCCAATGCTAAAAGACTCCTCTAAGTAATGAACAGTCAATATACAAATATATATTCGATAATTTTTACTTTTCTGGCTGTTATATATAACAGAAGAAAAGTGTAGTGCTCGGTCAAAAATGACACCTCCCAAATTTTTACATATTTCTACTCAGTTTATTTTTTTTCTAACCTTGAAATTTCGAGATATGGAAAAGATTCGAGGTTTTCTTCTATATGTGTGGATGTTAGACTGTGTGTGGGGGGCATGATTTTGTTTGAAGTCTAATAATTTCTGTGGTCAGAGTCGGACTCAGATGGTTTAACACAGGAGTTAGTTATTTAGCGTCAAAGTTGGTTGAACTAACTCATGTCCCCATATACATTCTAACATCTTAGGCGAGAACATCTTAACGGGTTTTACTGTACTATTATAAAATGGCAAAAAAGCTTACTTTGAGGGTAAAGACGAGTTTTATTTTATTTTTTTTTAATTTTGAACGCTAATAACGAGTAAAATATTCATTAAGAGATATGACACATGACCACTTTTGTTTTCACCCTGTCGACCTTTAATTAAGAACCAAAATTTAATAGTATTAATGCCCCTTTATACGCAAGCTACAGTGCCACATTTCGTTTCTTAAACTTTACCCATTCTGAGATATTAAACAATATCTCAGAACAGAAAATAAAGAAATTAAACAAATTAGACGCCAACACACG